TTTCCAGTAGACCAGTGGTCCCCAACGTGGTGCCCGCGGGCGTCACGGCGCCCACCAAGGCATTTATGTGCACCCACCTAGTGATCAGGGCCGGCCTGAGTCATTCTTGTGCCCTGGGCACCCAGCAGCCCCAAAAGGTTGGGGACCACTGCTGTAGACCAAACATTAACCCATTTCCAGCCCAAATAATTTGGTTTTTTGGAATGCTATGAAAATGCTTTGGGGAGCTGGATGGGCAGAAGAATTATAAAGCAAGTCATCTCGCGACAAGTGTCACCAGTACATAAATAGACAAAACGTTCCACGAACCAATGCTGAAGTGCAGCCGCCTCTGGGGAGGAACGTTAGAAGCTGTTTCATCCGACAGTGCAGCACCATTGTTGCAGGAGTGGAGACTAGGGAGGTGGTTCTGTTCGATAACACCGCTTCAGACTGTTGAAGCTCGAGCTCCTCTTAAAGGAGGAATTTTGCCTTGTGAGCGTGATTGTTATTAAAATGACAATTACGACATTACCAGCAATTGAAAGGTCAGCCCTGTACATGCCCGGTAACAATATTTACTGTGACTGAAGCAACAGGATTGTACAATACGCAGTTACGCAACCCCAGCGTCCCACATGTCAGATAACTAAGGAAAAGATGTGCAAATGCCTGTGTTAATACACAATGGGGCTTGCAAATTTAAACACAGAATTCCGGAAGTGAGAACCTTTGTGGATTTCAGAGCAAGGTTAATTCCGCTTCCTTGCTCATATCCTGGAATTTTGATGGATCCTTAGGTTTTTAATTACGCAGTTACGCAACCCCAGCGTCCCACATGTCAGATAACTAAGGAAAAGATGTGCAAATGCCTGTGTTAATACACAATGGGGCTTGCAAATTTAAACACAGAATTCCGGAAGTGAGAACCTTTGTGGATTTCAGAGCAAGGTTAATTCCGCTTCCTTGCTCATATCCTGGAATTTTGATGGATCCTTAGGTTTTTAATATTTTCCCCTTAATTCATACAGTGTGTGCAATGTTGAGTGAATGAATGGAACCGTGCTCATCTTAACTCTTTCGCTTACTGCACAGCCTGTGTTTAAATGTGCAATTTTCAAATTGCATCGAAAGGTTCTGCACTTATAAGGGCTGTACATTAGGCAGTACGTGTTCCCATTCCTAACATACAGCACAGATGGGGAGCTCGTGAGTAGGGCCTGCGTGGACTCATCCGTTAGCCCTCGCGGTTACATGCAGACCCCCCTCCCCCAGCCCCACTGGTGCCTCTGTATCTTTTAAGCTGCGAGCTCCGGCTCCCACCTGCCCCCTCCCCTGCATGTAAGTGTGTGTGACAGCACGTCGGGGAGCCCCTCAACCCTGTACCCCTGTCCGCAGCAGATGTGACTCTGCCAGCCAGTAAAATAGAAAGGGTTGATTGCTGCTCCGAGATACAGCCCAGCATAGGACCGTAAGAGGATAGACTAACAGCCCTAGTTCCCTTGGGAAAAGGTGTTACACTGGTTAGTCTGCTTCCTCCATGCTCTCCCTGCCTCCTCCCCAAGCCACACCCTTCCTTTGTTCAAACCCCTTCCCTGGTCAGGTGAGAACCGGTTGGGCCATTGTCTACTTGACATGAGGGCCCTCGGGGCGACCCCTGCTGGGCAGTGCTTACAGACAGAGGCCAGTAGGGGTCACCCACAGCCTAAGTCCAGTGAATGCCCAACCAAAATGGGCTTAGGGCCACTACAGTAGATAGCCCCCCAGTGTGTAACTGCTGAAAATTTCAGAAGTTGCATGTTTACAAAAATAACCACGTTTTAACGTCCCTAAGCTACGTCTAGACTGGCATGATTTTCAGCAAATGCTTTTAACGAGTCGTGGGCAGAGGACAGGTGTAATGAGCTGCCTCCGTCCTTTGCCCCCAAACAAGCTCAGGTGGCCCTAGTTATGTAAAATGCAGGACTATGTAGCACTTTAAAGACTAACAAGATGGTTTATTAGGTGATGAGCTTTCGTGGGCCAGACCCACTTCCTCAGATCAAATAGTGGAAGAAAATAGTCACAACCATATATACCAAAGGATACAATTAAAAAAAATGAACACATATGAAAAGCAAATCACATTGCAGAACAGGAGGGGGATGCGGTGGGGGGGAGGGGGAAGGAAGGTAAGTGTCTGTGAATTGATGATATTAGAGGTAGGGAGAGTGGGATGTTTGTGAGTTAATGGTATTAGAGGTGATAATTGGGGAAACTATCTTGGTAATGGGTGAGATAGTTCAAATTCTTGTTAAGTCCTTGTTGGCAAGTGTCGAATTTTAACATGAATGACAGTTCAGAGGATTCCCTTTCAAGTGCAGATGTAAAAGGTCTTTGTAGCAGAATGCAGGTGGTCAAGTCATTGAGAGAGTGTCCTTTCTGGTTAAAATGGCAAGAAACTGTTTTTTCTTTGTGATCTTGTCTGATATCTGTTTTGTGGGCATTAATCCTTTGGCGAAGTGTCTGAGATGTTTGTCCAATGTACATAGCAGACGGACACTTTCGGCACATGATAGCGTAGATTATATTTCTGGATGCGCAGGAATATGTGTTCTTGATCTTATAACTCACTTGGTTAGGTCCAATAATGGTATCAGCAGAATGAATATGTGGACAAAGCTGGCAACGGGGTTTGTTGCAAGGGAAGGTACCAGGGTTGGTAAGTGTGGTATGTCCTGTGGTGGTTGGTAAGAATCATCTTGAGGTTAGGTGGTTGTCTATAGGAGACTATGGGTCTCCTATAGGAGATTGTGACGCTTGCAGATCCTCAGGAGGAGAGGTTCTAAGCTCCAGTCGATATTTGCTTACTTAGTGCTTACCGGTAACTTTGGGCACTTGTCAGCCTGATCTCCCTCCCTCGCAGGGTCCCAGAGCTCAAGTTTCAGCCCAAGCCCAAACATCTACACTGTGGTTTGTAGCCCCATGATCCAAGCTCCGCAAGACCCTGACCAGCTGGTATTTCATTGCCATAGAGATATACCCTACTTTGCAAGCCCAGTCAGCTGCCAGCTGCAGCTGTTCCATGGGTCTTGTATTGCAGGGTGGCAGAACCCTTAGTGGCCCATCTACAATAAAATTGACATTGTCTGGGGAAAAACTAAAGTCTCCCCTATGTGACAAGTGGCCTCTGCAGAGATTAAAAGAGGAAGGCTACGTCTACACTGGCACCCTTTTCCGGAAATGCTTAAAACGGAACAGTTTTCTGTTATAAGTATTTCCAGAAAAAGCGCGTCTACATTGGCAGGATGCTTTTCCGGAAAAGCACTTTTTCCGGAAAAGCATCCATGGCCAATGTAGACGCGCTTTTCCGGGAAAAAAGCCCCGATCGGGGCTTTTTTGCGGAAAAGACTACTGTGCTGTCTACACTGGCCCTTTTCCGGAACAGTTTTTCCGGAAAAGGACTTTTGCCCGAACGGGAGCAGCATAGTTTTTCCGGAAAAACACTGACAATTTTACAGTAGATCGTCATTGCTTTTCCAGAAAAGCAAGCGGCCAGTGTAGACAGCTGGCAAGTTATTCTGGAAAAGCGGCTGCTTTTCTGGAATAAGTGGCCCAGTGTAGACACAGCCGAAGAGTTTTCCAAATCCAGAACAAATTGATTGTTTCTCTCTGCCTGGCAGGGAAGAACCTGGCCAGTTTCACATAGAAGCGTAATCTGTTTTACAGCCTGGCTCTCCTGAACTTGCTGAGCTGCGGGGCTGTTTGGGTGGCAGCCACAGGTGTCTGGGGAGGGAGGGTATCGTCTCCTTGCCTGCATCAGGTGGAATTCTTGGAAAAGAGGAGACCTGCTGCCTGCCCGTGTGCGTTTAGCGAGTGGAACGGTGCCCACTTTCATCTGTGCATGGCCCTTTAATTTCTGACTCCCTCTAAGCTGCAAGTCCTACTCCTGCACTTTCCCCTCCTGCCGTCGCCTCCCATCTGCTGCCTCCGGAACTTAGCTGAGAGATGCACCTACCGCCCTTGTTGAAACAGACACACGGGCGTTTGTGCTGAGTGCTTCAGACGTCCCTCCCCCGCCCTCTCCAGCTAACCTGCTGACATGCAGCTGTCTTAGTTACACCATTGCAGCCAGAATCCCTGTGGCCTGGCAAAGCCTGACGCCTCTCTCCTTACCCAGCTCAGCTGCAGGGACAGAGAACCCTTAGCTAGATGCCTGGGATCGCGGGGGGACTGTGATTCAAGCCAGCTCCAATCTTGCTGGCATCGGCGTCAGAGAGAGTCCCCTTGCTTGCCACCCCCTGCTCGCCGCGATGGACACGGAACCACCACTGCAGCTGCGCATCTTCGATCTCAATTGCTGGTGAGTCGCCGTTTGTTTGCTCTTTCACGGGAGGAGCAGAGTTCAAAGGTGGAGGGTGGCACTGCTGGGCTGTTACCCCCAGGGGGGCCTGGACGTGCCGCGGCACAGGGGTGGCGTGCAGCCAGGGGGCCTGGACGTGCCACGGCACAGGGGTGGCGTGCAGCCAGGGGGCCTGGACGTGCCACGGCACAGGGGTGGCGTGCAGCCAGGGGGCCTGGACGTGCCACGGCACAGGGGTGGCGTGCAGCCAGGGGGCCTGGACGTGCCACGGCACAGGGGTGGCGTGCAGCCAGGGGGCCTGGACGTGCCACGGCACAGGGGTGGCGTGCAGCCAGGGGGCCTGGACGTGCCACGGCACAGGGGTGGCGTGCAGCCAGGGGGCCTGGACGTGCCACGGCACAGGGGTGGCGTGCAGCCAGGGGGCCTGGACGTGCCACGGCACAGGGGTGGCGTGCAGCCAGGGGGCCTGGACGTGCCACGGCACAGGGGTGGCGTGCAGCCAGGGGGCCTGGACGTGCCACGGCACAGGGGTGGCGTGCAGCCAGGGGGCCTGGACGTGCCACGGCACAGGGGTGGCGTGCAGCCAGGGGGCCTGGACGTGCCACGGCACAGGGGTGGCGTGCAGCCAGGGGGCCTGGACGTGCCACGGCACAGGGGTGGCGTGCAGCCAGGGGGCCTGGACGTGCCACGGCACAGGGGTGGCGTGCAGCCAGGGGGCCTGGACGTGCCACGGCACAGGGGTGGCGTGCAGCCAGGGGGCCTGGACGTGCCACGGCACAGGGGTGGCGTGCAGCCAGGGGGCCTGGACGTGCCACGGCACAGGGGTGGCGTGCAGCCAGGGGGCCTGGACGTGCCACGGCACAGGGGTGGCGTGCAGCCAGGGGGCCTGGACGTGCCACGGCACAGGGGTGGCGTGCAGCCAGGGGGCCTGGACGTGCCACGGCACAGGGGTGGCGTGCAGCCAGGGGGCCTGGACGTGCCACGGCACAGGGGTGGCGTGCAGCCAGGGGGCCTGGACGTGCCACGGCACAGGGGTGGCGTGCAGCCAGGGGGCCTGGACGTGCCACGGCACAGGGGTGGCGTGCAGCCAGGGGGCCTGGACGTGCCACGGCACAGGGGTGGCGTGCAGCCAGGGGGCCTGGACGTGCCTCGGCACAGGGGTGGCATGCAGCAAGGAGTTCCTCTGATCTCTCAGCACGGTCCCAGTTATTCCATCATGTGGAGGGCTTGAGCACCAGGGGCCCTGCTGCCTCCCCCAGCCTCAGTTCTCCTCCTGTGGGGATGCTAGTAAAAGTGCCTGTGCCGCCCAGCGGGACACCTGGCGATCCTGGAGCGTGAGATGCTGGCAGTGGCAGTGTTGTCGCGTATCAGACGTGAGCCCCTCGCCGCCCACGCCCCAGAGCTGCCTTTTGCCGGCTCTTTTCAGTCTCACTTCTCTCCCCCAGGAGAGGTGCCTGGAATTGGGCCGGGCGCTGAGAGGGGTGTGTGAAGTGTCGTGAAGCGGGGTGCTCTGGTCGCAGGGGCTCTGTCACTGGGACACGGCAGGGCTGCGGTTAATCCCGCCCTCCCCACTAGCTGCAGCGCTGACCTGTGGGCCTTGTATGCAGGAGTTACACGGTGCTGGGCTCTCTGCCCACTCCACCTGGGTCCCTCCTACTCTGTCCATTTGCACTGAGCTGCTCTCCTGAGCAAGGCCCCCCTATCCCCACCCATACTGGGAGCCTTGCACGCCCGCCGTGCCAGCCTCCTCAGCCCAGCCTGCCAGCCCTGTCCTGGGCACAGCTGATCAGCTCCTGTCTCCTGCCATGGCAGCTCTTGCCTGCAGGCCCAGTGGGCACATTGCGGGTTGGGGGGGTGAGGGATCGGCTCAGCTAGTGTGTGTTGGGTACATGCTTCCCCCAGGTCCCATGGACATATGCATGGCACCTCGTGTGACCCCTGCAGAGCCAGGCCAGGCCTGCGCACCCCGCCCCAGTGAGGGCTCTCCTTTTGGGAATGGCTGCGTGGCATCACTGATGTAAGATGCAGCCGGGGCCATGAAGCTCCATCGAATTTAGATCCCCTCCACCCTTCCTCTCTACCCTCTCTTTGCTTCCTAGTCCTGGGTCTGGTCTGATTTTAAACCCAGCTCCTCATGCAGATGCAGTGCCCAGGTCCAGCCCTGGGTGTTCTGTGAACTCGGGTAGAAAATGTTTCAGTGTCCCCTGATCAGCTGAGCCTGCCCCCAACCTCCAGTTGGGTGCCCTGCCGCATGCTGGAAATTGGTGCCCAGAGCAGCCACCCTGCTTGCTCCTCTGTCCCTGCAGGTCAGCCCTATGGGAGTTTCTCCTGCTTTGAAGTTGCGGTGAGCACACGAGGCTAAAGGGAACCTCCTGTCCCTTTTGCACCCTGCCCCAACCAGGATGGGGGCTCCAGGACGCCGCGTGTTTGGAGGGTGATCCTGGCCATTCAGAGGTCTCCCGGCACACGAGCACCCCTCCCTAGACAACTTTCCTTATGCCTGCTCTGGGCGCTAGGAGCCAGAGCCGTGCTGGGCGGGAGCGTCTGTTAGGGATGCCTGTCACAGCCTCTGCTTCTCCCCCCAGGGCGATCCGCTACTTGAGCAAGCTGCGGCAGGAGCGCATCGGACTGATTGGCGACACACTGAGCCAGGAGGGCTTTGACTTGGCGCTCTTACAGGAGGTGAGGGCCGGGAATTGGAGTGGAGGTGAAGGAAGAGGGAGGGCAAGGATCAGGGAGCCGAGTTCCAGCCGTTCTCAGCCTCCCTTCTGCTTTTCCAGGTGTGGAGCGAGAGGGACTACTGTGAGCTGAAACAGAAGCTGGCTGCCCACTACCCTTACTCCCACTACTTTAAAAGGTAAGAGGAACCAGCAGTCCTGCTTGCTTCTTGGCACATCTGAAGGACCCTGGCAGCCTTAGTGTTGCAAACTATTGGGACCTTATCACGAGCCTCACAAGTCTCAGCTCTTCAACCCACGTGATTCTGCGAGACGGTGGCTTTTCTGAAGGACCGTGTGAGATTTCTGGCTCTCCTGGCTGCGACACCGGGAGGCACGTAAAGAGAGCCAGGGGGGCGGTTTTGTAAAAGATCTTATGATTGCTAAGCCAGTCTCCTGAGTTTTGAATGCTTGGGGTTGGCGTAGGCCCTGGGCAAAGAAGCCGTGGGGCTTGCAGGGGCTCAGGATGGCTTCATGGCCGCTTGGGTGCTCTCTCCTCTGCCTGCGTCGCACAGGTGCTGGCTCAGCGAGCAGCCGTCTGCTGTGTAAAAGGCCCGTGACAGTCTCCCCAGGCAGCTGGCACCTGGCAACACCCAGTCAATACGCTGCCCTTGAGCGATAGACGAGGCGGGAGGGGGATGGGGAGACGCACCAGTCACCACCCTACGGCTCTGCCTAGCAGGGGTAAAGGCCGCACAGCTGCCCTGGTGCACACGGAGCAGCCTGTGCGGGTCTGTGCTAGCACAGCAGCGGCAAGCTTGGCTTCCATTTTAATTTACTATGAACTGGCCAGAGCAAAGCTAAGCACTAGACGTCTCCATCGCCTAGTGGTTACGGTGGTGAGCGGGGATGTTGGGGGCCACAGCTGAGTTCCTGCCTGCAGCAGAGGGGCTCTGCCCCTGCAGCGTCTCCTCTTGCTGAAATAGTGATCGGGCCAGCAGCAAATTGCTCTTTTTTTGTCCCTCTGCTCCCCGGACAATGGGAGATGCCTGTTGCAACCGCAGCCCATGTGCTCCCTGTTCAACTCCCCTCCCTTGCCAAGGGTCCCCCCCCCCCCCCTGCCTCTCCCTGCGAGGCAAGAGCCCCCTGTTCAAATCTTAACAGGCGGAGGCCACGAACCAGGTTCTCCTACACTAGGTGAGCAGCCCGACCAGCGTGCTACCTGCACCCTAGTACTGCGATCTGTGGCACAGCGTCAAGAGGGAAGACAGAGGGGCCCTCCTCCTCCCTTTGCTTCCTCAAGTGGCAGGAAAGCCTCAAACCAGAGTTTTCAGCAGCCCAGCCCCTTTCCTTTTGGCCCAACTAATATTAAACTCAAGTGGCTCCGTGTCAATAAAGATCTAGGACACACCCTGTTGTTTTATCACCGGGGACTTTACCCCGGGCTTTTAACACCCTGGCCCTGAACCTTAGCCACTGAGCCATAGCCGGGCTCTGAGGCAGCCTTGGGCTGCCTGTTCATCAAGCGGGGCCCCATCAAGCCACACACTCAAGAGCGTTTCCTCAGCAAATCCCATCTCCTGAGGCAGCGCTGGAATCTGATTGCATCATGCCCTGAGCACTGGCCTAGCGGGTGATTTGCGCCCTTCTCTTGGGCCAACCAGTACTGTGTTAAAATGGAAGAGATTCCCCACCCCCAAGCATAGCCCCTACTCCAGCAATCCCACCCGTACGTACCTGTCTCTCCCCACTCACAGATGAGGGAGCTCAGTCTTCGGGGGGACGACAGTGTCTTTTCTAGGTCTCTAAAGCCTTGGTCTACACCAGGGACTTTTTTTGAAATTTCAAGCGGCGCATCCACACGACCAAGCCTGTTGTTGGGCAATAAAGGGCTGGTTATTGCGACAGCTGAGCGCCTGCTTTCCGTGAGGCGTAACGCGTATTGCAAAATAGTGATTTCAAATTAGCGGTCGTGTGGCCACTCAGCGGTTGCTGTGTCAAAAGAGCTACACCCCCAGAGTCATTCAAAGTCGTGCTGGGGCTCTCCGGTGAGGTAGCCCGGCCACACTGAAGGAGCCTGCCGCGGCCTCATTTCAAGGCTTCCCTGCCGTGTGGACGTGCTATTTCAAAATGGGTCTCTCAGGAATTGTTCTTTTGAAATAAGGCCAGGCAGTGAGGAGAAACCTCATCCCACGAGGCATAATGGAGCGGTCGATAAAGGCTTTCAATGTCAATCGCGAAGCATCCAGACTACCCCGCTGTGCCAACAAACAGCTGATCGGCACAGCGCGGCAGCCATTTTGATGTAAATGAAGCGGCGATTATTTAAATCACCGCTTCATTTTCCTATGTCTACAAAGCTCATCTACATGGCTTCATCGACGGAGCCATGGAGTGTAGACATACCCACAGTTAACAGACAGCAGGTTTAGGGCAACCCTAATGCACGCAGCTTAACCATGCACTGATTTTCCTCCACCCCGGAGGCTCCATTGCTCTTTTGGGTGTTTCTGGGAGATCCATCTAAACCGAAAAGGGAAAGTGGACTCAGCTCATATTTCTTCAGCCCCTGGATATCGGCATCTCTGGACTGGATAACAACTGTTAGACTCAGTGATCTTAGACTCCTAGAATCCTAAGGCTGGCAGAGACCTCGGGAGTCAGCGAATCCAGCCCCCTGCCCAAAGCAGGACCAACCCCAACTCAATCATCCCAGCCAGGGCTTTGTCAAGCCGGGATTTAAACACCTCTAGGGATGGAGATTCCACCCCGTCCCGAGGGAACCCATCCCAGCGCTTCACCACCCTCCTTGTGAAATAGTTTTTCCTAATATCCAACCTAGACCTCTCCCACCACAACTTGAGCCCATTGCTCTTTGTTCTACCATCCATCACTACTGTGAACAGCCTCTCTCCAGCCTCTTTGGAGCCTCCCTTCAGGAAGTTGAAGGCTGCTCTCAAATCCCCCCTCACTCTTCTCTTCTGCAGACTAAACAAGCCCAAATCCCTCAGCCTCTCCTCAGTTTGTGCTGTCTGCAGCTTCTTTTGTTTGACGGGTTTGTTGCACTTACCAGATGATTTGCAGTTATGCCTGTTGATGGGATCCAGAGGCCTGCCCTGCCCTCCCCAGCCCCCCGTAGCTGACAGGCAGCTGCGTTCCGTGTGCACCGCTCTCTCTGGTCGCTCACAAGCTCACTGCACTCTCGGGGTCACGGGAGACGCCGCAGTGTCTGGGCTTGTTCCAGGATCAGTGTCTTTCAGCCCCGACTTTTATATCTCGGACAGACAGTTCAGCAGCAGCAGTGCATGCTGGGTAGCGTCTATGTGGAGAGCTGTGGCTGAAGGCTGCATCTCACATTTTTGTTTGTCGCAGCTGCTGCCACTGCCTTGAAATGGGCAGTGCAGGAATACGTGGTCAGAGCCTCGTCCCTTGTGCAAAACTGCTCGTGCTTCCCACAGCCTTGCTGGGAGATTGCCTGAGGGCCACATCGTGCCAGGCACTGCTGAAGGGTCTGGTGGGCCGGCGCGCTGCTCTGTATCAACTAGCATGAGATATGCCTGGCTTCTCCTCGGCTTGCATCTAGCACCATTCGCATGGCCTCACGGGCAGCGGAATCATCCCTGCTAATGTCTCAGATGCTGTGGATTGGCAGTCGTCTCTCCAGCAGCAGGTGGAAGAATTCTGCTCCAAGTTCACCCGACCAGAAATGCATCTATCACACGCTGAGGAGGAGGCGGTGTGACTCATAACATAAGAACGGCCGTACTGGGTCAGACCAAAGGTCCATCTAGCCCAGTAGCCTGTCTGCCGACAGTGGCCAGCTCCAGGTGCCCCAGAGAGGGTGGACCAAAGACAATGATCAAGCGATTTGTCTCCTGCCATCCCTCTCCAGCCTCTGACAAACAGAGGCCAAGGACACCATTTTATCCCCTGGCTAATAGCCTTTTATGGACCTAACCTCCATGAATTTATCCAGCTTCTCTTTAAACTCTATTATAGTCCTAGCCTTCACAGCCTCCTCTGGCAAGGAGTTCCACAGGTTGACTACACGCTGTGTGAAGAAGAACTTTCTTTTCTTGACTACACGCTGTGTGAAGACTCGGTGGTTGGGGTGGAAGTCTGACCTAGTGGTCAGGGCAGGAGGCAAGCCTGTGGTCAGGGCCAGGAGTGAGGAAGAGGAGGGAGGCAAGCGTGAAGCAAGGGCTGGACAAAAAGCTCGTCTGACCTGGCTTAAACAAGGATCCGCTGGCCCTGGTGTCCAATCAGAGAGCTGGGACCAGACGAGCTCATTAGGCTGCTGGGTGCCCCTGCCCTGTGCTGGCTCATTCCTGACAGTCTCGGCACAAACTTCTCCTTGGGTAACGTGTGTCCATGAACTGGGCCCAGTCCAGAGCCTCATGCCAGAGCATTCTCCGCTTCTGCTCGGTTCTCACCATGTGCCCGCGCCACGTCTTCAAACGCTTCCACACACGGTCGAGCTTTCTCCCCCTCTGCAAGAACATTGTTCATGGCCTGCCCGGGGGGGCCACCCTTTTCCAGCATCCATTGCCTCTTTCCTCCGTTGGTGGATTTAACACCACGGTCCCTCTCTGAGCATGGCTGATGACTGACGCATCATACATGGGGGCTTCCACAAGGATGTCTTCCACCCTGTGCCACAGCACCAACATCACCCGTGAAATCCATTGCACAAGGCATGTCTCCCACGGCAAGGCGCCCATGGTCCAGTTCGCTTTGATTCCTCCATTTAATGCAGAAAGTTGCTTCGTCATACACAGCGTAAGTCCACTCTTGGCCTAGAGAGTGGAACCTACCCTGAAAATATTTCATCGGCGTGCACGCTGCAGTAGCCTCAGCTGCAGGGGAAGCAATCATTGGACAGCAGCCAATATTCAAAAAATATAAAATAGCCACAAAAACGTCTCCAATCGGGCTTTTCTACAAATAATGCCCAATATTTTGCTGTATTTCATGGTACTCACAGGCTCATACTGTCCTACGGCTGCATACCTTTGCTTTAACCGAAGGCAAAAAATATAGGCACATGCATAAAATACACTCCTGGTGCTAAATAGTTCCCAACCAGTACTATGTGGCATACACAGTTGCATTAGCATTGGACTTAGAAGTTTTCTGCCAGTTTTGATCAAAATTGGACTGTCTCTCTTTGAGCTATATGGCCCTTTTTGTGCTTTTTCATAGACTCATAGAACTGGATGGGATCATCAAGCCCAGTACTGACCAAGCACCAGCTAGACCATCCCTGACAGATGTCTATACCAAGCACCAGCTAGATCATCCCTGACAGATGTCTATATCATCTGCTCTTAACTATCTCCAGTGATGAAGATTCCACAACCTCTCTAGGCAATTTAGTCCAGGTCTTAGCATTGTCGCGTGTACGCTGAGCCCTAGACAACCTCTCTAGGCAATTTAGTCCAGTTTTTAGCATTGTCGCGTGTACGCTGAGACCTACGGCAGCCACCGAGGAGGGATTCAAATGCTGCCCAGCTGATTAGCCGCACCACCGAGGAGGGATTCAAATGCTGCCCAGCTGATTAACCGCGCGCCTACCGTTGGCAGCATGTTTTTACTGGTGGTGCACATCTGCACATGCCTCAGTGCACATAACAAAATTTATTCCGTACCTGGATGGAAAAAAATAAAGGGAATCCTGGTGCTTAATTACCCTGACAGGAAGTTTTTCCTACTGTCCAACCTAAAACCTCCTTTGCTGCAATTTAAGCCCATTGCTTCTTGTCCTAGCCTCAGAGGTTAAGGAGAATATTTTTTCTCATTCCTTCTCGTAACACCCTTTTGGAGTGGGAGTTAAGGAGAATATTTTTTCTCATTCCTCCTTGTAACAACCTTTTGGAGTGGGGGAAGGTTATGCAGACTGGATGCCCAACAATGGTTAAATACTATGTGATACATTAAAACGTCCAACATCTGCATGCACCTTGGTGATGGCTGCTGGATCTGTGTGGCACATAAGAGCAATGACATTTTTCTGGTTGATCACTTTCAGTCTGGCTGGAGGGCTGCTGACACCCCCCCCCCCCCCCCCCCCCCCCCCACCCCCCCAC